CTGAGCCCAGCTGAGAATGCTGTGTGGTCTGACACATCATGTCGTAAGATCTCTTTGGAAGATACAGGGAGGCTAGGGCCAGTCTGGGTAAAAAATTAACAGGAAGGTAAGGGGCAGCTGAGGTTTCAGGGCTGGCTCCCACTTCACAAGAGCTCCTCTTACTCTGGCACATCTCTCCTGGGTCAAGTCAGATAGTGGGAACATACATGACTTCCTGCATACCTTCCACGGTCCCTACCCCAGCATATAATATGGTGCCTTTCGGGAAAATTTCATACCTGATGTCCAAGCAAATGAAATAGCAGCTTTTGCTCAACACTGCCACAGACAACTCCCAAAGTCTCCTCAGGAGGGCCCAGGCATTCTTTTGCCATTCTGACCATAGGAGGCAAAACAGTAAGGGGACATTTTATAGGTCAAAGATGGAAAGAATGCATCTAGGGGCTGGGAAGGTGGCTCAGTGGTAGAGAACTTGCCTTGCATGCCTGAGGCCCTGGGTTCAATTCCTCAGTGCCACATAAGCAAAAAAAGAAAAAAGCCGGAAGTGGCGCTGTGGCTCAAGTGGTAGAGCACTAGCCTTGAGCTGAAGAGCTGAGGGACAGCACCCAGGCTCAGAGTTCAGGCCCCACGACTGGACCCCCCCCCAAAAAAAAGAAAGAAAGAATGCATCTAGATCTCAATATCTTCAAGTATTTCCTATGGTGTACAGCTGTGAAAGAACCTTCCAATGTCAGAAAAATCCCTACCAGAGCCTAAAAATCACTGAGTATGGGTAGCTCAAGCCTGTAATCTTTCAGAAGTCTGAAATCTGAGGATTGTGGTTTGAAGCTAAGCCACAATAGGAAAGTCTGTGAGACTCTTATCTCTAATTAACCCCCCAAAAAGCCAGAAGTGAAGTAGAAATATGGCTCAAATGGTAAAGCATCAGTTTTGAGCAAAAAAGGGACAGCTGGACACTGGTATTTCATGCCTGTACTCCTAGCTACTCAGGAGGCTGAGATCTGAGGATCCCAGTTTGAAGCCACCCAGGGCAGGAAAGTCCATAAGACTCTTATCTCCAATTAACCACCACTAAACCAAAAGTGGTATTGTAGCTCAAAGTGGTAGAGCACTAGCCTTAAGTGAAAAAGCTCAGGCCCCATGACCGGGAGAAAAAAAAAAATCTAAGAACAGTGCTGAGGTCCTGAGTTTAAGCCCCAGTACTGGTACGTACACACACACACACACACACACACACACACACACACACACACACAGAGTCTAAATAGTCTTTTGACTGATTGGAATAGATATCACATTCTAGGTGAGGAAATGGGGTCAGATCAACTCAAAGCCATGGAAACCCTAAGCCTGGACCCCATGACTCCCATCATCTCTTTTAGCTCTGAAACGGTAACTGCCAGGTAAAATCTGTTGTACAATACCAGGATCCTATGGATCATTCTCCCACTTGAAAGCAAATTGGAAACAACCCAATCACCTAATGGAGAATGATTTGTTTGCTATCAACTTGATAGAGCACCTCATTCCCCTTAAAAACCATCTTTTGTGATGGTGTTGCATGGCAACCAGTAAAAATGTTGACAATGAAATAGTAAATGGAAAAAGAATATCAAAGTATATTTAGACTGAACGTACTTCACTAGGCCAAAACACTAGGGCATAGTGACAAGAATGGCAGCACACGCCACATGAGTGAAAGCAGGATACTTGGGGGGCATCCAAAAGAGACATTTGGGCCAGTGGCTCACGCCTGTAATCCTAGCTACGAGGGAGGCTGAGATCTGAGGATCATGGTTCAAAGCCAGCCTGGGCAGGAAAGTTCTGTGAGACTCTTTTCTCCAATAAACCACTCAGAAAACCAGAAGTGGTGCTGTGGCTAAAGTGGTAGAGCGCTTGCCTTGAGCTGAAGAGTTGAGGGACAGCGCCTAGGCCCAGAGCTCAAGACCCATGACCAACAAAAGAAAGAGAGAAAGAGAGAGAGAGACATTTGGCAAAAAGAAGGAATTCTCCCAAAGCTTCAGGGCTTCTCTCTCAAGAGCCTGGGCAGAGCAAACCTGGTCAATCATCAGCCATAGGACAAATATCAGAGCGAGGACCACCAGGAGACTAAGCCAGACTGAAGAAGGGGTTAGAAACAAACCTGTAGAACCCCCAGACAGCAACATTGATCATGGAAGGAGGTAGGGTCAAAGCCCCTCACACAAGCTCTGTCAGACTAAGGGTCCTCAGAGGTCCCACAATTCCAAAGGTGTTCTTCCAGATTTACCCTGGAACTTGGTGATTCTGACCCTTTGGATTTCTCTGGACTGGCTTTCTCAAGCGGGGGTGGGGAAAGGGTGGGGAGGAAGCAGGGGGGGGTGTCATTGTTTCTTGAGGGTTTCCTTTATTAGAGCTGACCCAAAGTCTTTTACCAGCGTTCATGAGCACACACTCTTTTCACCATATCTACTGAGATTCACCAATAGAGAACATGGCTTCTGTGCTTTTGTTTTTGTACGAAGGTCCCCTAGGCCCAAACAATTCCTCTCTAGCTCTTTTGGTTGATTTGGGAGAATCAACTAAGAGATTCCAGTTAGTCTGAGCTCCAGCTTTGTGAACTTCCTTCCAGTCATAAGCTGAGAGCTATACCCCCAAATTTCTTCCCTGAATTCCCCTCTTGACAGATCCTGTTAATATCCCTGCAAAGCTGAATGGGGAGCTCAGGCTTCCTGATGGGGAAGGAACCTCTTCCTCCCTGATCCCACTGCCCCCAGAAAGACACTGACTGACAGAAGTGGGCAAATTCTAGGAGGCATGGACTCCACATGCTACATAAACCTTGCTCTTTGAGCTCTATCACCTCCCCCACCTGACTCTCACCCCAAAACCCCTTTTTGGAGAATATCCCAGTATTTATTTATGTCTATCCAAAGTCCACACTCCAAGAGGGGCAGCAGCCCCAGAGAATGTTGTCCTGAGCAGGCTAGGAAGGTCCTCCTGAGTACCTGGCCCATTCCTGATAGGGCCACTCTTGTCCTGGATGTCTGGGCTCCTGAGAATTCTGCATTCTTACACTTAGTTACCTTCTTGTCATCCATGCTGACTACGACAGAGGAACAGTGGCTGCTGCCCTGGGATCAGATGGCTCTGGATCATTCCACTCACAATACCCTCTGAGCAGCTGCTCTAACCAGATCATCCTTCCCCTTCATTAAAGTATGTGCCATGCCAGGCACTGGTGGCTCATGCCTGTATCATCCTAGTTACTCAGGAGGCTAAGATCTGAGGATGAAGGCCAGACTGGGCAAGAAAGTCCATGAGATTCTCATCTCCAATTAACCACCAAAAAACCTGAAGTGAAACTGTGGCTCTAGTGCTACAGTGCTAGTCTTGAGGGAAATAAACTAAGGCACAGTGCTCAGGCCCTGAGTTCAAGCCCCAGTTCCAGAAGGAAAATGAAAGTATATGCTACTTGGTTTGTGTAGTCTTAGAAGACTATTTGAGGGGCTGGGAAGGTGGCTCAATGGTAGAGTGTTTGCCTTGCATTCATGAGGCTCTGGTTTCGATTCCTCAGCACCACATAAGCAGAAAAATCTGGCAGTAGTGCTATGGCTCAAGCAGTAGAGCACTAGCCTTAAGCTGAAGAGCTCAGGGACAGTGTCCAGGACCAGAGTTCAGGCCCTACACCAACAAAAAAAAAGAAAAGAAAAAGAACAATTTGAGGACTCTTTGACAGTGTAGACAGGTGACAAGGGATGAGAGGAAGAACAATTTTATTCAGCTAGTGAATCTAAGAGGCAACAAGAATAAAGCTTTGAGGGGGTGGGAAGGTGGCTCGGTGGTAGAGGGCTTGCCTTGCATGCCTGAGGCCCTAGGTTTGATTCCTCAGCACCACATGAGCAAAAAGAAAAAAGCCGGAAGTGGCACTGTGGCTCAAGTGGTAGAGCGCTAGCCTTGAGCCGAAGAGCTGAGGGACAGCGCCCAGGCCCAGAGTTCAAGCCCCAGGACTGGCCCCAGACCCAAAAATTAAAAAAAAAAAGAATAAAGCTTTGTCAGGTGCCAGTAGCTCATGCCTGTAATCCTAACTACTCAGGAGGCTGAGATCTGAGGATCACAGTTCAAAGCTAGCTTGGGCAGGAAAGGCTGTAAAACTCTTATCTCCAATTAACCACCTGAAAATCAGAAGTGGTGCTGTGGCTTAATTGGTAGAGCACTAGCCTTGAGCTGAACAACTGAGGGACAGCGCCCAGGCCCAGAGTTCAAGCCCCATGACCAACAACAACAAAAAAAAAAGTCTATGTCTCCTGCACAGATACCAAGGGATTGTCCTATTAAACAAGACATCCTGTATGAGTCTAAGGCTTTCCTATCTGAAGCAGAGGACACTGGAATTGAATGATAATGAAGGAATGTCCTGTGGCCACAAGGACATTCCCCCGGGACAGAATGTAATATAGTGGGAGAACAGGGAAGAGGAAAAAGGGAGGAGGAGGAAGGAGAAAGGGGTAAAAGGACTGTGCCAGGGTGATGTCCGATAAACACAGAGAAGCACCTCCCCAAGACTGGAGACTGAGATACAGGCCCAAGAATCATCTCCCGGATCCCATTTCCATATTCAAGGTCTAGGGCCAAGGGTCAGGGAGAAGCCCAAGCAAGCTTCTAAATGTACTTCGTGCTGAAACTGCACTTTAAAGTCATGTATATTTCATATAAGAAAAAAAGAACAAAAGAAATACATTTTGGAACCCAGTCTGGTAATTCCTCAAAAGTTTAAAAAGGGGGCTAGGAATGTGGCTTAGTGGTAGAGTGCTTTCCTAGTATGCATGAAGCCCTAGGTTCCATTCCTCAGTACCACATACACAGAAAAAGCCAGAAGTGGTGCTGTGGCTTAAGTGGTAGAGTGCTAACCTTGAGCAAAAGAATCTCAGGGACAGTGCCCAGGCCCTGAGTTCAAGCCCCAGGACTGGCAAAAAAAAAAAAAGTTTAAACAAAACCCAGTGATTTCCTTCTTAGCTAGAGACCACCTAGTTGTGAGAGAAACCCCCATGGGAGAAGGCAGGGAGGCTGGGGGCACAAGCAGCAGTCTGGGACAGACAAGCCAGGGGGTTGACCTCACAGGCCCCAGCATCCTGGTCTGCCCGGAAATAGATGGAATCAGCAGAGGAGAAGGAAGGGTCCTCATCAAAGAAGTTGTAGGGCCGGAGGAAGAAGCCCACTCCATTCCCCACAGTCACCGTGTTGGGAATATCCTCTGCATGGGGGATGTGCAGAAATCCAGCTGTCACCCAGACCACCAAGTCCTTAGGAGGGGAGAAGAAGAAAGAGGATCATGAAGTTGTGCTAGGAACATACCCTGCCTCCATAATGGCCTTACAGAAAAGATCTCTGCTCAAGAGCTTGTACTCTTTTAATATCTCAGGGGAAAAAATGAAATCACAGAACTTTTCTTTCCTTCCTTCCTTCCTTCTTTCCTTCCTTCTTTCCTTCCTTCCTTCCTTCCTTCCTTCCTTCCTTCCTCCCTCCCTCCCACCCTCCCTCTCTCCCTTCCTTCCTTCCTCCCTCCCTCCTCCTTCCCTTCCTTCTTCCCTTCCTCCTTCCTTCTTTCTTCCTTGCTAGTACTGGGGTTTGAACTCAGGGCCTTGTGTTTGCTTGCCTGTTGCTCTACCACTACAGGCACTCCTCCAAACCAAAACAGTGTGAAATCATAAAATTTTCTTGAGCAATTCTCAAGACCCCTGAGAAGTCTGGCTAGGGAGAGAGTGAGGGTAGCTTATTCTTGGCTTCTATGCTCCCTGACTCCTATTCCCACCTCCTCCTTCATCTCTCACTTAGCTTACCTGCCCTGCAATGCTCTCGTTGTTGATGAAGTTGGTGAAGTCCACAGTAGGTGTCCAGGGATCATTCAGATTGTAGATGCTTGTGCTACTGGATTCTGCCTCCTTCCGCTGAGTCACTGCCAGCTGATACCTACAAAAGAGAATTTTATTTTTATTTTTTTTGTATGTGCTGATACCAGGGCTTGAACTCAGTACCTCATACTTTCCCTTAGATTTGTTGCCAAAGGCTAGCACTCTAGCACAGCTCCACTTCTGGCTTTTTAGTGGTCTACTAGAGATAAGAGACTCTCAGATTTGGCTACCCAAAGTGCCAGAGCCATGATCCTTAGATCTAAGCCCCCTGAGAAACTAAGATTACAGGTGCAAGCCACTGGGGCTGGGCAAAGAAAAAACTGTTTTTTGTTTTTTGAGAGAAGATCATGCTGCATAAATTGGGCTTGTATTAAAATCACTAGGTAGCCCAGAATGGCCTCGTATCTACAATCCTCCTGTTTCACTCTGCTGGGTTTCACAGGCATAATGCCATGTGGACAAGGCCCTAAGGACAATTTTGATTAGTCCTACATGGTCATCCATTGGTCCTGCTGCTGGGAACTGCATTATAAAGGGAACACAAACAGGAAATGAGCACAAAGGTCTTGAAGGTACTGAGCATCTTTACTATTCTCTGCTCAGTTCTTCTTTCCCAACCCCATGGAGTTCATTTCTGCATTCATTGAACCGTATACCTCAAAGATCACATGGCCTAGAATCCATATTTTACCCACACTTCTAGATCAGAATCTGATGTGTATCCTGTTCCTTACATCCATATTTATACAAATGCCCAAGGTAAGGTTCAGGATCTCAAATACCTGCATTTGAAGGAATATTGCCTTACTCTTTGGGGGTTTTTGGAGGGTTTTTTGGTCATGGGGCTTGAACTCTGGGCCTGAACTCTGTCTCTCAGCTCTTCAGCTCAAGGCTAGCGCTCTACCTCTTGAGCCACTGTGCCACTTCTGGTTTTCTGAGTGGTTTATTGGAGATAAGAGTCTGATGCACTTTCCTGCCTAGGCTGGCTTTGAACTACGGTTCTCAGATCTCAGCCTTCTAAGTAGCTAGGATTACAGGCGTGAGCCACCAGTGCCCGGCTTACTCTTTGTTTTTAACTCCAACCTTTAATTTGATTTTTTTTTTTTTGTCAGTCCTGAGCTTGAACTCTGGGCCTCAGTGCTGTCCCTGAGCTCCTTTTGCTACCATTTGAGCCCTAGTACCACTTCTGGCTTTTCTGTGATTTAATTGGAGGTAAGAGTCTCACAGACTTTCTTTTTTTTTTTTTTCCGGTAGTGGGGCTTGAATTCTAGGCCTGGGCGCTGTCCCTGCGCTCTTCAGCTCAAGGCTAGCACTCTACGGCTTGAGCCACAGCGCCACTTCCCGGTTTCTAGTGGTTTATTAGAGATCAGAGTCTCCCGGACTTTCCTGCCCAGGCTGGCTTTGAACCTTGATCCTCAGATCTCAGCCTCCTGAGTAACTAGGATTAAAGGTGTGAGTCACTGGCACCCTGCTTATTTGGAATATTTTAAACACACAGAAACATTGAAAGGCCAGGTGCTGGTGGCCCACATCTGTAATCTCAACTACTTAGGAAGCTGAGATCTGAGGATCAAGGTTCAAAACCAGCCAAGAAAGACAAATCTAAGAGACTTTTTTTTTTGTAGTCCTGGGGCTTGAACTCTGGGCCTGGGCCCTGTCCTTGAGCTTCTTTTTTGCTCAAGGCTAGCACTCTACTATGTGAGCCACAGCGCCAATCCAGCTTTTTCTGTGATTAGCAGGCACCAGTGGTTCACCTTGTAATCCTAGCTACTCAGGAGGCTGAGACCTGAGGATCGAGCTTCAAAGCCAGCCCAGGCAGGGAAGTCCTTGAGTCTCTTATCTCCAGTTAACCACCAGAAAACCAGAAGTGGCACTGTGGCTCAAGTGGCAAAACACTTGCCTTGAGCTAAAGAGCTCAGGGACAGTGCCAAGGCCCAGAGTTCAAGACCCACAACTGATTAAAAAAAAAAAGAGTCTCATGGACTTTCCTGCCCCAGTTGGCTTCAAACCATTATCCTCAGATCTTGCCCTCCTGAATATAGCTTGGATTACAGGCGTAAGCCACCAGCACCTAGCCCAAGAGACTCTTTTCTCTAACTACCCAGCAAAAAGGCAGAAGTGGAGGTATAGTAGAGTACTGGCCTTTAATAAAAAAGCCAAGCAAGAGCACAAGGCCCTGAGTTCAAGACCTAGTACCAGTACGAAAAGAAAAAAAAATGGAGGAATTGTGAACACACACATATTTACAACCTAGATTTTACCATTAACATTTTACTGTTTGTGTTTCAGTGCATAATATTTTGCCATCTATCCATATACCCATCTAGGTGATCATTAAGAGGAGGTTGGAAGCCAGGCACCAGTGGCTCATGCCTATAATCCTACCTACTCAGGTAGGATTTGACCTGCAACCCTCAGATCTCAGCCAGCCTAGGCAGGAAAATCCATGAGACCCTTATCTCCAAATAACCATTAGAATAGCCAGAAGTAGAGCTGGGAAGGTGGCTCAGTGGTAGAGTACTTGCCTCACATGCATGAGGCCCTGGGTTCGATTCCTCAACATCACATAAACAGAAAAGGCTAGAGGTGGTGCTGTGGCTCAAGTGGTAGAGCACTAGCTATGAGATGAAGAGCTGACGGACAGCATCTAGGCCTAGAGTTCAAGCCCTACCCATGACTGACAAAGAAAGAGACAGAGACAGACAGAGAGACAGACAGAGACAGACAGAGAGACAGACAGAGACAGACAGAGACAGACAGAGAGACAGACAGAGACAGACAGATAGACAGATATAGAGACAGAGACAGAGAGACAGACAGAGAGAGAAGAGCTGGAAGTACAGGTGTGGTTCAAGTGGTAGAGTGCTATCCTTAAGCAAAAGAAGCTCAGGGACAGCACCCAGGCCCAGAGTTCAGGCCCCACAACCAACAACAACAACAAAAACAAAAACAAAAACCTGGCCACAATAGCTTGTATCATTCTGGATACATAGGAAGTACAAATAGATTCACAGACTAGGCTAGCTCAAGGAAAATGTGAGACTTTATCTAAAAAATAAGAGCAAAAAGGGCTGGAGGCACAACTCAAGTGGTAAAGCACCTGCCCAGTAAGCATAATCTCCTGAGTTTGAACCTCAATATCACCATAAAGTAAAATGACAGAACATGTATATGCACCGATGGGGTATAGGGTCCACCTCTCCAGCCCTGTGGGACCGCCCTCCACCCACCTCACCCAGCTGCAGGCTTTTTCCAAGGAGCTCTCCTGGGGCACTGGTTTCCCAGCAAAGCTGAGTGTCTGGATGCGGTAGCCCCGTGGGTGACCCCACTTGTTGCTGTGATTGCTAGCCAGGTACACGTAGCGGGGGATGGGACCTCCCATGGGGAAAGCAGCCTGTTCCTCTGTCTCCAGCAGCTTCCGGGTCACCTGCAGCCTCTGTATCTGATA